GGGGCCGCGGTGACATCTGGGGCTGAGGGGTCCCGGGGGGGCTGGGGGTCCCAATGTCCCCAGGGGTGTCCTGGGGGTGTCCCCATGTCCCTGGGGGTGTCCCCAGGAGTGTCCCCATGTCCCTGGGGGGGTGTCCTGGGGGTGTCCCTGGGGGTGCCCCCTGTCCATGGCACCGTCCCCAGGGGTGTTTGCGGCGGTGTCCCCCATGTCCCCGCAGTGTCGCCCCATGTTCCCCCCATGTCCCCATGGGTGTCCCCATGGGTGTCTCTTCATGTCCCCGCCACGTGTCCCCCATGTCCCCATGGGTGTCCCTGTGTGTCCCCATAGATATCCCCCTGTGACCCCGTGTCCCGCCGTGTCCCCATGGGTGTCCCCCCATGTCTGCATGAGTGTCTCTCCGTGTCCCCGTGTCCCCCCGTGTCATGTCCCCACAGATGTCTCTCTGTGTCCCCACGGGTGTCCTCCTATGTCCCCGTGTCCCCGCTGTGTCCCCATGGGTGTCCCCCCGTGTCCCCCTGTCCCCTTGTGTCCTGTGGGTGTCCCCCCATGTCCCCATGTACCCCTGTCCCTCATGTCCCCCCTGCCCCCCATGTCCCTCCTATATCCCCCCATGGGTGTCCCCCCCATGTCTCCATGTCCCCTGTGTCCCTCCATGTCCCCATGTACCCCTGTCCCGCATGTCCCCCCATATCCCCCCGTGCCTCCTGTCCCTCTGTGTCCCCGCCATGTCCCCGTGGGTGTCCCGCCGTGTCTCCGTGTCCCCTGTGTCCCCCTGTGTCTCCATGTCCCCTGTGTCTCCCCATGTCCCCATGTACCCCTGTCCCGCGTGTCCTCCCTGTCCCCCGTGTCCCCCCGTCCCCCCTGGGTGTCCCCGCGTACCGGAGCGGCAGGGCGCGTACTCCACGAACTTGGAGAAGTTGCCCACGGAGAGGAAACAGGAGCCCACGGGGTCCCGGCCGGGCTCCTCCTTCACCGTGCGCCAGCTGTACAGGGGCGCGCACGCCTGGGGACACGGGCACACCGTGACACGGGGACATGGGGACACGGGGACATGGGGACACGGGGACAGCACCACACCGTGACATGGGGACATGGGGTCACCGCGACACTGGGACATGGGGACACCGCGACACGGGGACACCGCCACACGAGGACACCGCCACACGGGGACATCGTGACACGGGCACACCGTGACACGGGGACATGGGGACACGGGAACATGGGGACACGGGGACAGCACCACACCGTGACATGGGGACACCGCGACACGGGGACATGGGGACACCGCCACACGGGGACACCGCCACACGGGGACATCGTGACACGGGGACACGGGCACACCGTGACACGGGGACATGGGGACACGGGGACATGGGGACAGCACCACACCGTGACATGGGGTCACCGCGACACGGGGACATGGGCACACCGCGACACGGGGACATGGGGACACCGCGACACGGGGACATCACAGACATGGGGAGACACCCATGGGAAAACAGGGACATGGGGACAGCACCACACGGGGACACCGTGATGACACCGTGACATGGGGACACGGGGACACCGTGACACGGGGACACCGCGCATACAGGGACACCCCCTCCATCACCCCCGCTCCCATCTCCGTGTCCCTGAGCACCCTCAGACCCCCCGCCCCCTCCCATGTCCCCTGTCCCCTCCATGTCCCCATGTCCCCC